ATGGATAAAGTCTCTCGAAAAACAGATACTAAAAGAATTAAAAACTAAAAAAAAGAATTAACTTAAATCATTAGTCCTTGTATTTGTAAGAATCGATCAAGTTTAATGAATTACTTGATGATTCCCTTTCCTTAGGAAATGATCTTTCAATAAACACAGTGCATTGTGTGTTTTACAGGACAAACTTGTTCTAATTTTTGTGTTGAGAAGTCCGGTAATTGAATAAACTCTTTCCGATTGGATGCTAGTTGCTTTGTGTAAGCAATGCTCTATATAATCTCTCAAGATTTTCCCTTCTGTTCGAAGTTGCCTCAAAATACTTGTTGAATTCTTTGAAGATTTCAAGTTCATTTGTTACTACCTTGGGCTCTTCATTCATTTTCTTCATTGCACTCGTATATTCACGCATGGGTTCATCAGCTTCGGAAGTAAATAGGACAGCAGTAACACTTGTTTTTAGATTCCCTTCTATTTTATTTTCTTCGCATAATTCTCTTATGTTCTCCTCGTGATATCCAGGAAATAATCTCCACTATGCTTGTTCAGCATACTTCTTTTAAAGTTGTTTTGTTAGAAAAAGAAAAGGTCAGGAGGTTGGTTTGTCTTTAAACTTCCTTGGATTGTGTAAATAACTTGAGAAAGTCAAGGTTACCACATTTCTTCTCTTATTTCTTCTCTGTTTTTCGCGAAGATTTAGAGCTGACGATATTAAATTTATCCAATTAAAATTCTATAGAATATCCCGCTTTGAGTAAATCCGTATCATCAGCGCAAATGGACTTCACAATAATCTCTGCTGGATGTAGGATTCCATAAAGCAAATCGAGAGTTTTCCGTCCATCGTCAGCTACAGCTTCTGTAGAAAGTACTGCTCGTTAAGCATTTGGAATGCAGCTTTTTAATTTTAAAAATCTCACTATCATTTGGAATGTGCTATCCCACTTGGTTCTCTCTCTTTTTTTTTTAAACATTTCACCCCAAGCAAGGTGGGATGCCACTAGTACGCAAGGGTTACAGAGTGGGAGCGAGAGTAAAGAAGCGTGATCGAGGAAAGGGTGAAGAGAAGGACGGGGAATAGACCAAGGCATCTGAAAATGTCGATTGACATTGCATTTGAATATTTGAAGATTATAGCTATCAGGGAAGCAAGTAAGAGGAAGAGAGTTCCACAGATGGGAAGTGAGCGACATGAAGCTATTGGAGTAGAAGAGACGGCCACATTTAACCGTTTCGACAGTGAAAGGATGGGACCGTGATGCCAGTCTAGTAGCACGCTTAAATTCATGCTGTCTGGGAACTAACGAAAGTAGTTCGTCGGAACAGTTACCATGAAAGCATTTGTAGAAAAGACAGGAGGAGGCGACGGCATGTCTGTGAGACTTTATCGAAGAGTGGTAGGAAACTGATAGGACGGTAGTTAGATGGATCTGCAATCAAGTATAAGTCCATAGACTCTGTTATCGAAGTTTGCTCATACAAATCTTGCAAAATTTCTTTTTTTTTTTTTTGTAGGCGATTTTCGGAAAAGTTTGGGAAGTTTTCTTACCTTATTTAAGATATTGTTAAATTCAGGTTTTAGTTTGGGGAAACAAGCATTTTCGTGAGCCAAATCTGTTTGAAAAATTATATCTTGTTGGCTTATTTCAGCTTCATCATCACTATCGTCTGTTATAATAATCTCTTCACTTTTTTATCAGTCTCATCGGTTGAGGCGATATTTTCAATATGTTTTGATAAAGAATGTCTATCACAGACAGATGTATGCATACGCGCAATACATTATTAATGTTAAGGTCTTATTTCCTTTCCAAACTTCACCATCATAGCAGCACCATCGGTCGTAAAGCCAACAATATGTTTATCTAAATCCAATCCAAATTCAAGATGTCTTCTCGCAAATTTCTCAGTTCTTTTGCTTTTAAGGGAACCATTGATATTAATAAGACCCAACGACTAAGGGTCGTCTTTCACATGAACATTTATTTTAAAACATTTTTATGTTTATACATTCTATTTTTTTTTAATAGATACAAATATTTAAGTAAATGCTCTGTTTTATAATAAACAGTATTTATAACATTTACTACCGAATGTCCGAGAAATTTTCATAGAAAATATTCGTCCTCCGACAGGAATCGAACCTGTATCCTATATAGATATTTTTCGGACATTCAGGCCGGTAAATGTTATAAATACTGTTTATTATAAAACAGCATTTACTTAAATATTTGTATCTATAAAAAGAATGTATAGACATAAAAATGTCTTAAAATAACTTTGTCTATTTCATGATGTGTGACGTCATTTGTTTACATTTGAATACGCTTTGAGCAGATATAAATGTACATGAGAGATTCATGAAAGATTGTAGTTTAAAAACAGTAAAATCGACCTTGCTAATCGAACGATCCTCCGTGGCTCGATCGGTTAAGGCACGTCAGGCGGTTCCGTATAGGATACAGATTCGATAAATGTTATAGATACTGTTTATTATAAAACAGAGCATTTACTTAAATATTTGTATCTATAAATTTACTTAAATATTTGTATCTATAAATTTACTTAAATATTTGTATCTATAAAAAGAATGTGTAAACATAAAAATGTCTTAAAATAATTGTCGGACTTTGTCCATTTCATAATGAACATTTATGTTCCTATATCGTCTATTTTGAATTGATGTGTATTCATCCAAAGTCAATCCTCAGTGCTACTTTTTCGAAATAATGAATAAGATCTTCTTTCTTGATTTAGTAATTCATTACCATATTCCTGATTCCATTTGCAGATGTTGACGGTAATTTATCATATTTGCCCATGTGATCATGAAGATTTGTCTGTATAAAATTGCTTTTGGCGAATGAATTGAAAGAAAATTCATCTATGGCAGCTAACTCTGAAATCTCTTCTTCCATAGATTATTTTGTTAAAAAGTCTTCCAATGTTCTTACCATTTTCACAAGAGGCTAGTTTGCATCTTGAGTTATGTCGATTTGATGAATTTTCTTCAAATGCAAGATCATCGTGGTAGATCCTCCAGAAGACTTCATGGTCTTCTCACACTTCGTGAATTGAGTTTCATCTTTGTTTTTTCAAACGAAAACATTCCACACAGTTGGTTTTTCTTTTTATGATGTTAGGGCTAATGAGAATGAAAAGAAAAACTATAAAATTGCCGGCAAATTAGTCTCCTATATCGCTCCCTCAGCGCTGTGGTACAGGTGAATGGAAAGCGGACAGTTCTATTTGCGCTGTCTCGGTCGGTTCGTCAGACTTAGTGTAATCGTAGGCCTCGGGATCAGTCGGATTTCCTCCTCGAGTGCCGATCGGCCTTGAGGGTCATTTCTCAGTCCAGTGACCTTTCTCGGCCTAGGTGAGTTCTAACGGGAATTAGTGGAGGGAGAGGGTCGCGAAGGATCCGCTTTGCGGCCGGTTCGGTTTGTCGGCGACCGAGTTGCGCTCTTTCAGTCTTGGCTGCCAGCGACGGATTATCTCAGCAACCCTGAACTTTCGTTTACGTGGAGATTGGTTCGGAATCGGCTACCTCTCGATAACGTAGCGTTCAAATGATGCTTGGCAGATTTACCAGACTGTCAACGATGTGACCTTGGCTTAGAGGAAACGGCTTCGCACGCTTTCTACCACTATCCTCGGGTACGCCTCCTTTGGAACTATGTCAGCGAGATGAGAGCTCTTACTCATTGATCGCACATACGCGTGTGACAATGTGTCGCCCCCCCCCCGTATTTTGGGGTCAACCAGATGGTGTTTCTGACGCTGCTGGCCACGGCTCGAATGTTGATTTGGAAGACGCGAATGGAGGAGATCGTGCGATGTGATCGCTATTCTCATCAGGATCTGATCAGATTATTTCAGCATCAGCTCAAGATGAAGATTAGAACTGATAGAAAGCTGTTGGTATCGACAGATTTCAGCGAAAGGTGGGTAACTGCTACAAGTCTAGTTTGCTTAAACTGGACTAAACTTTGATTTTCTTTTTTAACTAACCCTAATTCACAACGAGCGGTTTCCTGAGGAGGCTTTCACTGGTTAAGATAAACTCTTCCAAGTGTACCTAGTTAATGTGAGTAAATATTGTCCCAGGCCTGTCCCCCGGCTTCTGCTTTTGTTATGATCCAAGTCGAGATTCCCAACCTCCCCAGTTTCTTTTGGCTCGCCTTTTCATCTCGACAGGGCCAGTTTTTGAATTTTCTAATGCCCATCATTTTTTATCCTTTCCGTCTCCCTTAGCGAGAGAGCCTCTTGATTTTGTTCGAAGACAGAATAAAGAGGTCATTCTTACTTTTGTTGATTGGACGGGTCCTGTTAAAATCATTCCTTCTTTTTCGGGGTCATTATCCTCCCACATTATTCTATTGATAAAACTTTTACACACACACACACACACACACACATATATATATATATATATATATATATATATTATGCAAAATTGTAAATATTGGGATTTTTAACTCGTGTGGTGCCCGGCGTGTGTAAGGCATTTTGGTGTATGAACGAGCGGATGGTGACGGATAAATTCTTATGGTGAATGAGAATATTGTAACGAATGAATGGGTCGTGAATCCTATTAGCTACCTAATGATGACCAACCTTGACTAGTCTCCCCCTTTTTTTCGACCTTGAGCCTCAATTACTGTATTATTAATAATCTTTGGCTTCAGAAGCGTACTAATTCACAGGAGATTAAATTCCGAATATATATGTGCTGTAGTTTTCTTCTTATAGAAATAGTCTCGATGAGACCTAATATTTTAGTCAATTTCTTATTACTGTAAACGTTAAATTCAAAATATCAATTAATTACGTAAAAATTATTTTAGTCACTACAATTACTTGCAGTTTATGAGAGAACAGGAAGTACAAATCTGTTGTTTTAAAGATAGTAACATATTTGATATCTAAATTTCGTCTTTTGGTAAAGAGAGTTGTTTGGCGTAGATTTGTGTTGACGGGCTGATATTGTTTTAGATAAGAGATTATAAGGAAGGATTAAGGGTCGCTGTAAGCGTCAGCAATTTCAAGTAGAAAATTAACAAGAACGGTAATCCCTTTACATAATATTTAATGGTTTGTTCTGGTAACCTTCAGGCAACAAATACCTAAAGTTTTGGGTACACTGTCCATGCATGGTTGTACAAAAGTTCGAACGCCTTCGTCGGTAAGAAAAAGTGTGTTGTCAGTTCAGGAAGCGAGGTAGCGATCGGCAACTCATCGTCTTTGATCCCTTGGCGGCCGCGGCTAAAGAGAGAGAATTCCCTTTTTTTCTTCCTCAAAGTAGGTCCGGTTTTTGTATCCTTCCGCCGGTGGATTTGATTAGTTCACAGTTCAACCAATTTACTTCTGTGAGGGAATTCCTCCGCCAGTGAAAAACACATCTAATCGCTGCTACAAGATGACTACAATGTGTTGCAAAAACTATCGTATTTATTTATCATTTTTTTAATACTGTATTTATTTTTATCTATGTTTTTTAGGGAATTGATACTCGATATTTTTTATTTACTCGAACTACATTTTTTTTAATTAATATCAGTAGAGTAAAACATCGAAAACTGGAACGTTTGTAAAACGACAGCTTGTAGAGGGGCCGTTGCGGTTATGTTGTTGATAGAAGTCAGACGTCGAAGAAACGCAAGTAAGGTTCAGATACTCCTGCCCGCCGGGCCCAACTACATAAAAAGGTTGGACTTTGATTAAGTCCAAAGAAGAAGGCAAAGAAAGCAAACAAAACACAAGACCGATAATATATGTATATACAAATATATATTAATAACAAGTTACAATACATGGAAACAGTACAAAGGACGAAGTATGTGTGAATATTCTGTATGGGCGTGCGTGTGTGAATATTCTGTATGTGCGTGCGTGTGTGTGTATTGTGCTTAGCGTGTTTCCACGCTATCCCTTGTTAGCGCCTACATTTCGAGGTTGATAGCTGAAATCCTGAAGGAAAAAGAGATTTACCTCAAGGTGTCGGTGCACAGGCCTGAAGGAAAAAGAGAAAGAGGCGAAGGGTTAGCGGCTATTTATAGCCAGGGAAGAGAGACCCCTGGTGAAAGGGTTAACGGAGTGAAGGAGGAGTTAACTCCGACAAGCTTATTACTCAAATATGGCGTTTCTTCTGTAGAGGACCGTGTGGGTTTGAGTGTTGTTGAATTAGAAAAACGTGCTCTTTATTCCCGCTAGAAGAAGGTCTAACTACAAGAACATGGCGGACTCAAGTTGAATCCAACCGAAGAGGTAACGAAAACAAACAAGACCGATATATATATATATATATATATATATATATATATATATATATAAATTATATGTATTAAACAACAAATTTACACTTGACATAGACATTAACTTTTGTGTTTGTGTGTGAACGTAAAGAGTTTGTATTTTGGTGAATGTTCGTACGTACGTGTGTGTGAGGTTCATGGCATTTCCCACAAATGGGCAAAACGTGGTTCTCTGTGAGAGATGGTATTTATCAATTCACCCACAGGAATTGAATGTGGCACAAGGCCTTTTTAATGTGGGTATGTCTGAGCCCGTAGGCCCAGCCAAAAATAAAACCCATCTAAACCCGACCAAGCGGGCTAGTTCCGTCAACCTCCCCGAACGAAACCCCACCCTTCGGCGGAGCTTCGTCCGGGTTCCTCTCTGCAAGCAGAGAGTTCGACAGACACCCGGCTCGGCAGCTCACAAAGCACAGATACTACACTTTGATCCTAGCCACCGGGCCGAGCGGGTATTCTTTTTTTAGATCACATTTTTAAGAAGTTGAGCAGTATTTATAGTGTAGGGAGAGCGACCCCTAGTGAACAATTAGGGAATTAAGGAGGAGCTAACTCCGACACTTCTCTAAAGGAACTTGAACTTCCGCTCAAATGGTCATCGTCCATCTTTACCTTATTTATCGTTTTGCAACTCAAAATGACGAGAAAGCAATTTCTGTGTAAGAATGACTAGAATTTGAAAAACTCACTTCCACAATATTTTAAAAGTTCCAAGAAAATGCATCACGTTATCTAATCATGAACTGCAAGTCTTCATGAATCGAAAACACGTTACCGTCAGTACAAACAAAAACGTCTATTCAAAAAGCTAAGAATTTAATTTTCTAATTCGCTTGTGTTGCTTAGCATTTAACCAAACGGAACAAACTAGAAGCTCAATTAGAATGCTTGTCTCCGTTGGTAGTTGCATAATTAAAAGAATGAAAAAACTTGTACTTCCAAGGAATGATTTATTTTCATGGAGATATTTTGACTAGCAGTTGCCAGTCTTGATCACTCCTTAATTTGAGTAAAAACAATACAAAGAAGTTCGAAACGCTTAAGAATTTAAATCAATGAGAACAAACCGAGTTGATGACGTTTACAACGTAATATCAAGTTGAGGCATTTTTTTTTTCCTCCATATCACATTTTTCTTTGGAGCAAAGATGTCCAGACAGGATGGAGTTGTGCTGCATCTATCCTATTGCAGGCATTTTTTTTGTATTTGCTATTACCATTTGTTCAGATACTCTTCTTTGATTGAAATGCTTTTGGTTCGTCAATTTTATTTCTGGGTGGTCGAAGTCAATTCTGTGACCTTCTCTAATGGCATGTAATGCAATCGCTAAATGTTTTTTTCAATTTTTGTTTATCGTTATCATTTAAAATTACCTTATCACAAAGTCGTTCTTTCAATGATCTTGAGGCCATGCCCACATAACTTGTTGAGCAGTTCATGCAATTAATTTTGTAGATCATTACTTGAAACTGCTCTTTCATCTTTTAATCTGATGAGGGTCCTTCTTATTGTGTTGAAAGAGGAGAATACAACTCATATATTTATCTGTTTTAAAATTCATTTAATAGATTCTGATGTGTTTTCTTCATACGGTATATTCACCGTTAAAACTTTTTCAGAACTAGAGTCTGTATTTTCTAATCATTTCCATGTTAAGCCTTTGTGTACCTAGTTAATGTTAGTAAGTGTTCCCGGCTGCATCTTTGGTTATAATCCAAGTTGAGATTCTCAGCCTCTCCAGTTTGTTTTGGCCTCTTTTTATCTCGACTGGGTCAGCTTTTTCTTTCCCATGTCCGTATATATTTTCTACTTTTCCCACACCCTTAGTGAGAGAGCTTCTTGATTTTGTCCAATGGGCAGAATACAGCGGCCTCTCTTCTTTTTTGAGGGTTGGACGGGCCCTAATAGCATCAGTTATGTTTAGTTCACTTTGTGTCCATGTTTAGTTTGTTATTGGATTCATCTCTCATTTTTCATCTTTAGAATTGTATATATAGTTTATTATCATTAATTTTTTATAGCATGGGACGCGTTTCGTAGGTTCCCCTTGTGAGGACGCGGTATTATGGTGTATGGAAAATTGATTGGCGACGGACGAGTTTTTGTGGTGAACGGGTAAATTGTAATGAGTGAAGACCAACCTAAACTCCCACTTTTTCGGCCTTGTGTCATAATTGTATTTTTATGCAATAAATATCCATTTCCATGTTAATAAACTTATTACAATATTTCAACGTTTTCGCTCGTTCAAAAAGAACGCTTTCATTTTAATATAGTAAAAGTAAGTTTTTTTACATCACACTGGCTCAAGACAAACTTATTTAATTTCGTTCTTATTCTGTACACGTTATGATATTTTTACTTATCTTTTTCATTTGTTATTTCATTACTATTTTTCTGATAAT